GCCAGCGGTGCCAGTTCCTATGCCAACACAGATGAGAAGCTCTACTCCTTCTGTGCCCAGTGTATCACCAACAGCAGCAGTACAGCCATCAACTGTTTCAGCGCCAGCGGTGCCAGTTCCTGTGCCAGCACAGATGAGAAGCTCTACTCCTTCTGTGCCTAGCGTATCACCAGCAGCAGCAGTACAGCCATCAACTGGTTCGGCGCCAGCGGTGCCAGTTCCTATGCCAACACAGATGAGAAGCTCTACTCCTTCTGTGCCTAGTGTATCACCAGCAGCACCAGTACAGCCATCAACTAGTTCGGCGCCAGCGGTGCCAGTTCCCGTGCCAGTACAAGTGTCACAACCGTTGTCATTTACGACTTTTGAATCTGTCCCAATTTCCACGATGACTGGTACTGCTTTGACTCCTCAAGCAACTGTTGTTTCTACTGTTAATGCTACCTCTGTTTTGGGTGGAATTTCGTCAATTCCAACTCCAGTACCTGTATCTGTTTGTGATTATAAGAATGAGGATTCTAGACCTCAGGTGCAAATGTGGGGCTCGGTCCCAATGCCAGTACCGGTGGCAGCGCCTGTTCCAGTTGCCTCTACCACATCAGGTACGCACGCAAAGGAAAAGAAAAAGAGGGAGCACAAAGAGCATAAGCACAGAGAACATAAGCACAAATGATGGGAGCGCTAATTTTTCCATCTGCTGTTTGTATTTTTATTTATATGATACCTTTATTACTTTTTTCTCTGAATGTTTCTGATTTTATTTTAAATATATTTGCTTTTTTTTTTTTTTTGGGGGGGGGTGTCATTTATTTGCGATATGTTGAGTTATATACATATATATGTATATATGTTTTTGTTTTTTTTCCTTTATTTTTTTTTCTTTTAATTTTAAGCTGAATAGTGTGTGCGTGTGTGTGCGTAGGTGCCGATTATTTGGGGTGTTATTCTGAAACTGCAGTTTATCTTCATGCGTGCTAAAAGAGGTCGTCCAAGGAAAGTAAAAGGTGATGAGGCTGTAAAGAAAAGCGTAGATGGTGATAATGATGAATCACCTCTGTTTCCACCATTAAGTTTGACTTCTAGCAAGGATGAGGTTCCGCAACGGGGTCAGTTGACCCTTACTTCTTTCGTGTCATCAACTTCTAGCAGTCGAATATCACCAAGAGCATCCCCACCGCGTTCCACAAGGAAGATGGAAGAAGAACAGAAACAACAGCAGCAGCAGAGTAATCATCCGAAAGAAGAGTTTCTCTTCGATAAATCAGTTAGAGATGCGATGAAACCTTCTGTGACACGACAGTTTAAAATGTCATGGTGTTGGCCAGCATCCCCCCTACATAAGGTGGAAATGATCTCTGATAATTGTTGTAGAAATGTTGGGTTAACCTCTATTGTGGAACTACGAGGTGATCCACATCTTGAACGTGGGGAACGTCTTGTGGTTCTTATTCTATCCTGTGGTCAACGTTTTTTGCTTCCACTAATACCGGAGCCACGGGATAGTACTAAGGTACAGGAAACTGGGATATTCTGGCGAGTACCAATGAGATCATACCAAGATCAAGTACCACCCTTCGCTGAGCTTGTCATTGGTACAGTACAAGAACTTGAAAAAGCTGCAAATATTATTGTGAATTCATCAGAGACCGTTGGCTTGAGTAAGATGATGAATGAGAATAAAAAGAAAGAATTAGAACGACAATTACCAATAGACTCATTATCTAATTTAAGTACATTCTTTTTTCAATCTTTACCATACCGTACACTGTGGTTGTATCAATTCCGTAAATCTCTTATTATATCACTGCCATGTGAAGAAAGGCTTGTTTCACTTAGTCTAGAGCCGAGCGGGCAAAAGACGCGCATTTCACCTAGTCTGATGACAAACGTTATTAAGCGCACTGCTTCATTCCGTTTACCTTCTTCTGTTGTTCCTCTCGACCTTAGTGAGGTTTTTGATCGCCCTTTTCTTGCTGTTGGGACAGTTAGCCATGGTGTTCTAATTATTCTTCTTGAAGGACTTGGTACATGTGCTTGCATTGTGAATCGTATTGCACTTTCAGGTTTATCCACTTCAATGTTTCCAGTGACACGCATATGTACTCTATTTCCTCCTCTTTCTAGTGAGGAGAAGAAAAGCACTACACTTGGAGTATGGGAGAAAAAGTCAACTGTTGTGTCACAATCCTTAGATGGTACCATTCTTTGTTCATCTCCGTACGAAAATCGTACAGTAGTCGTAAAATGCGCCTCCACAGGAGCTGATGGCTCTGGATTTGAATCACCTCCACCAACAAGGACGGTTGCAAGTTTTCTTTGTTCTGCACCTTATTGTGATTCAACTTTGGCTCCTTTGATTGCAACACAGGATGGAAAAGTTATACAATTTGGGACTGATGCCACTATGACGACTAATTCTAAAGATGATGTGCCAGCTTCTACAGAAAATAAACGTCGTCAGCACTATGGAAAATTTGATGCTGTACATCCAGAGATTGTGTATGATAACACCGTACGTCCATTGTTGAGTTCACCTCCAAATCATTTTTGTGAAGGAGGTCCTGTTCCGCAAGCAGTATCAAACTCAACGTATCAGCCGACATATACCCGTCATTGGTTGTGTATAACTACTATCGGTATGGAGGTTTTGTTACTTGACCGAAAGCTCATTAATTACATAAAGCACAGTACCATAACTCTTAGTATTCCATCATTTTCTAATAAACAAACTCCAAATGAGCAATGCTATAATGAACGGTTGGAAAAGAAAGGGGAAAATGAGAATGAGAATTCTTCTGTCAAAAGTAATACCCAAACCACACCTGCAGATGATGCTACTTATCGTACTGCATTAGAAGACGGAGCTACAGGCATTTCATGGTTAAAAGTGGAAGACGGTCTATTGCAGGCAATTGTGACGCATCACCAGTGCTTCCTTACTATAGTGACATGGAAACCATAGATTCTGTGTGTATCCTTTGTTAATATGACACAAATACTAGACTATTTAAATAAAGGTATATTTCACAAATGACGTTTTTCTTGACAGTTGTATTCTCTCACTTTGAACTTGTTCTTTTTTTTTTATAATTCACTTTATTTTTTTTTCTCTATTTATAACGTGATAAAATAGTTTTTTTCGTATTCAGTGTACTCTTCCCACATTTAACAATATCTGCAATGGAAGGATTTTACGGTGTGGAGGTCAGCGCTGGGCAACAGGTGAAGCCCAAGATCCCCGAGGAGCACGCACTCCGCCTGACCCAAATCGCTCTCCCGGCAAACGCCAGCGCCGCTGTTTCCCTGATTGTTTCATTCCAGGGAAAGCAGTTCACCATTGCCACACTTGACCCCAAGAAGTCGTTTCAGATGAGCACTGACCTTGTGTTTACTGAACCCTTGACTCTTAGCGCCACCGGTGCTGGATGCGTGCATGTGACCGGGTACGTTCAGCCCGTTGGCAACGACCTTGACAGCCTTGGCAGTCACGATTTTGCTGATGACGAGGAGGACGATGATGATGACGAGGAGGAGCTCGAGGCTGTTCCCGCAAAGAAGATGAACGGAGCTGTTGCCCCTGCTTCCGATGATGATGACGATGATGAAGAAGATGACGAAGACGACGAGGAGGCAATGAGCGGTGACGACGACGATGAAGAGGGCGATGACGAAGACGACGAGGAGG